GACCACGGACGCGCGTGACCGCGCCCACGCGGCCCTCTGGTATGCCGCGCCTGTGAATCCGTTTCCACTCAGCTCCGGGTCATCCTCCGGCCTCGGGGACCACACCCACCAGACCCAGCCAGGGCAGCCCGGTCCGGCCCGGTAGGCCCGGCCCCAGGCCCGAAGCCTCCGCGGCCCCTCTCCTCACCGTGTCGACTCCTGAGCCGTCTTCCCTGGTGCCCTCGGTCTCCTCACCGTCTGCGGCTTCCAGCACAGCGCCAGGGCCGCCCAGCGGCTCCAGGGGTTCAGGCTGCAACAGCTTCTCGGGGTCCGGAGGTGCCTGCTCCATAGCTGCAGTTTGGCAACGAGAGTTCCAGTGCGCCTGCGCCGTGCCTTGGGCCCCAGCCGCCCCGCCCTTTGCTTGCGGTAGCCCCGCCCCGCGCTCTCGGTAGTCCCGCCTTTGTCCACAGAAACTCCTCCTAGGCGGTGGAGCCAGAAAGCTAGACCACCTGCCAAAACCTGCGACCGAGGGAAGCAGGGAAAAGTTAGGGGGATCTGCAGAGGGTCAGCTACAAAACTGGAAATCTAGGAGAGCCGGTGAAGATATAAAGAAACGAAGGTCAAGTGAACTCAAAAAATAAGTGCAGAAGTCACTCAGATTGGGATCCCCTCAAGTAATTGAGTCATTCAAAAGAAAGGGAGAGCTGTCTTCTGACCATCCCCCTTACTTTGCGTACACAATTTCCGTTTCCCCACGCAAAGACCAGAGCAACATCAATTATTAACTTTTAGAGAGTTGAGTAACACACTCAGCAAAAGATAACGCTTGAGGATTTGAGAGCGGTAGGGACTGGCTGAAGTAGGCTGGGGACCCCCATCGTAAGTGTTTAAACTTCAGACGGTAAAGCGTTGGCGACCGGATTTCTACAAAAGTAATTTCCTGAACCTATCCCTTGGCAAGATTACCTGTGGTGACCTGAAGAAAAATGCTCACTGACCGTAGCCTAAATATGGGACCTTTGGATAGGTTTGGGTTCTTTTTGTCGCCCCCACCCCCCTCCTCACACATACACACATGGTTTCTCTGTATAGCCCTGGCTGTCCTGGAACTCACTCTGTAGACCAGGCTGGCCTTGAACTCAGAAATCCGCCTGTCTCTGCCTCCCAAGTGCTGGGATTAAAGGCGTGCACCACCACTGCCCGGCTTTGGATAGGTATTTTTTGTTCAAGACCTGATCTTGGACCAAAACTGATCTTTCTCCCCAAACAGCCATTTTGAGTTGTGAAACACAATTCCTTCCTCCTGGAGTTTCCTCCCTGGGTTGGTGGCAGAGTTCCATTCATGCTCAAAGCACTTTCTCTTGTTATTTTACAGTAATTTGTTTCCTAATCCAGTTTCCCCCAGCTAGACTTTGGACTTCTTTAAGGGAGGGACCACTCTCCTTATCCTTTCCCAGTTCCTTCTTCACAGAGCCTAGACTACTTATGTTTGAAGGTATTTTTATTGTTCACCAGGGCTTAGTTATACCAGGCAAATTCCCAAAAAACATATTTTAAATCAGAAGACTATTTTATGAGTCACATGAGGATAGATTTGTTCTCGTTATCTTGTGCTCTTTCCTCAGTCTCTGAGATCTCAGAAAACTAGATCCTAAAGCCAGCAGGAGGTTCGCCGTGAGCTGACAAGCGGAACGAGGAAATGACGCCTGGCTTTGTAAGGCCTCAGGGAGATCATGCTACTGTCTACTATTTTGTTTTGTTTAAAAATAAAGACTAGCCTTGTGGTAGTGGTAGCAGCACATGTTCTTCATTCCAGCACTTGGGAGGCAGAGGCAGGAGGATCTCTGAGTAGAAGCTAGCCACATAGTGATTTCCAGAACAGCCTGGTCTACATAGAGAGACCCTGTCACTAAAGAAATAAACAAATAATTAAATGAAATAATAATAATAAATAAAAACTAAAACGGAACATATTCATTGGTTCCCTCTTTGTTCATACTCCTTTGTGAGTGATGTGTGTGAAAATAAATTCAGGGATGGTTATGTAGCATTTGATACTAAGAGAAATTCCCTGTGATGTCTTACTGATGCTCCCACCAAATTATTTTCATAGTGTCTTGACGTGGGACTTTCTTTCGTTCTGCAATATAAAAGCTTTATGACTAGGTGAAGCAAAGTGATAGAGAGCCTGCCTGACATCCACATGACTGTGCTGACACCGGGCATGTACAAGGCTCTAGTTTCAATCACCAGAATGAGAAAGGGGAAGAAAGGTGGTAGAGACAGAGATGGAGAGAAAGAGCAGTCAAAGGGGTTTGGTTTGGTTGGGCTTTCATTTGGTGGAGTTTGTTTGTTTTGAAACAGGGCCTCACTATAGAGTCTAGCTGGCTTCCAGCTCACAGGGACATGCCTGACCAAAAGGCTTCTTGAAGAACTCAACAGAGCAAAAAGCATGTGTGGTGGCTCATGCCCATAGTCCCAGCACTAGGGAAGCAGAGGCAGCCTCCTGTGGTGCCTCACTTCTGAGCCCCCTCAGCTGTCCTACACTGATGATGTGAAAGCCCACGGCATGCAAGTTACTACAAGCAACTGAAGCCAGAGGTCAGTCTTTGTCTTCCATGCTTTCATCATCTAATAGAGAGTGGCTCTGAGCCCTGGTCAGACAGCAGAGCTCTGAATCAGCTGATTAACTATAGGAACCAGAGATCTCAGGCCCTAAGGGAATGCGAATGGAGGGTGGTTTTCCGTGGTGGTGTTTTCCCTCTGTGGATAAATTAAAGTATTATCACAAGACATTAGTGGTGCACGCCTTTAATCCCAGCACTCCAGAGGCAGAGGCAGGCGGATTTCTGAGTTTGGGGCCAGCCTTGTCTATAGAGTGAGGTTCAGGACAGCCAGGGCCACACAGAGAACCCTGCCTTGAACACCCCCCCCCACACACACACACACAAAAACGAAGGCATTATCTGATATAACCTCTCATTTTGCAGATGTGAAGAAAGAAACTTGGCTATAATCAATACTGAGAGCTTGTTCACAGCAGAGCTGAGACTCAGCCCTAAGTCCTACAGTATGGTAGAGGGACTGCGGGCATCCGACCCAGAGCCAGCTGATCCTCCTTGGGCAGGCATGTCCTTTTCTACAGTGTCAGGAGGCTGAGGTCTGGCTAATGAGAGGACTAAGCCCCAGGAGCTAGCTAGCTGCCTGTGACTGTAAACAGAGTCCTAGACCCAAAAGTGGGCAGGGAACTGAAAACAGTATGACCTCCAGGACAGAAGTGATAGCAGGTGCAGCAGCTTGTAGTTCCAGAGTGAAGGAAACGGGAAGTGGGAGCTCATGGGAAAAGGTGAGGGTGTTGGCTTGAGATTTGTGGGGAAGGGAAGAGATGTATGGGGCTACTGAGGACTGGCAGAAAATTGGAAAAGTCCCTTCCTTCCTTCCTTCCTTCCTTCCTTCCTTCCTTCCTTCCTTCCTTCCTTCCTTCCTTCCTTCCATCTCTTCCTCCACCCAGGGGTTCACTGCAGAACCAGGATGCCCTTAGACAATTGGACCTCCTTCCTCCACCACTGAGTGCTGGAAAAACAGGTGAGTGCCACTACCACACTGGGTAGAAACTCTCTGCCTAGAAGTCCATTCTGGATAAGTCCTGCCTTATTCAGAGAAAGGCTTCCTGTAGGGAAGGAACACTCCATCTGGAGGAGGTGATTCTGGCTGTAAGCAATGACTTTTTTTTGTTTGTTTGTTTGTTTTGTTTTTCGAGACAGAGTTTCTCTGTGTAGCCCTGGCTGTCCTGGAACTCACTCTGTAGACCAGGCTGGCCTGGAACTCAGAAATCCGCCTGCCTCTGCCTCGCAAGTGCTGGGATTAAAGGCATGCGCCACCACCGCCCGGCTGTAAGCAATGACTTTACAAACCCGAGAGTGGGTTTGGATTTCCTCCTGCTGGAAACTAGGATCCAGGAGAGGCTCATCCACTCAGCCTCTGCTCTGACACCCAATGCAGTGCTCGGTGTGGGGAGGGAAAGGAGGCAAGGACGGTGTTGCAAGTTTCTATAACCCACCACATGTACACATGTGCCCACGTATGAAATGGATGAAGAAAGAGGCTAGCGGAGCTCTGGGCACACCACACTGTTTTAAAGAGGGGGTACACGTGTGACCCCACTCAGAGCTTTTACTTGTTACTTCTGTAGGAGGTTCCCCCGAAGGCTTTACAGCAGGCAGGAAAAGACCATGGGATGAGATAAGAGTGAAACTTGGATCAGTGGTAAACCTGAGACTCTCAGAGAAAGACCAGTACCACGATTTCTGAGCCACATTTGAAGCAAGCTTTAATTAAATACTGGCAAGGATGATGGGCTCCGGTCAGGTCCATTCGGGGATTCTGCAGTGGCTTGTAAAGGCAAACACAAGGCTTCCATATGTCCCATCACATCCAATCAGAGGCAAGCGTGTATCCATATGTACTTCATGCCTGGGTACCTCTGACCTACATGTGATCAAGCATATCTGGTGTGGTCAAACAAACTTGCTTAGGGAAACAAAAACATGTGGCTTGTTACTGCCCATAAGCAGCAGGCTCCAGTATCTCAGGAAGTTTGTCTGTCCTTGGGCAAGAGGCTTATAGGTGAGACATTTTTGTTCGTGGCTCTTTCAGACACAGTAATTAAAACTTAAAACATAGCTTTGGCTTTCACGTTAGTCTGATTGTGGTAACAGTGCTCGACCAAGACTGTTTGGAGTCCAACCCCTATCTTTTGGGATCAAACAGATGAGACTAATCCTAAGTGCTGCTATTTTGTTTTCAGACTCCATTTTGATCATAAGGTGAAATTAAGTTCAAGTTTGAAGGTTCTAGGGCTCTTTCCAGATGGGTAGCCAACTTCCTCCTTATTCTTCTTTTGTTCCTCAAAACATAATTGTTTCTAACCAGGAAAGAACAAATGATTCTGATTGATGAAAAATGTGATGTAACTTAGCACATATGTTTGTGGATTTCGGGCTTTAAAAGTCTGTAACATGGTGCTCGCTTCGGCAGCACATATACTAAAATTGGAACAATACAGAGATTAGCATGGCCTGGAAATTCGCAAGGATGACATGCAAATTCGTGATGCGTTCCATATTAAAAAAAAAAAAAGTCTGTAACATGGAGCTGCAGAGATGGCTCAGTGGCTAAGAGAATTGACTCTTCTTCCAGAGGTTCTGACCTAAATTCCCAGCAACCACATGGTGGCTTACAATCATCTATCTATACAGGTACAGGGATCTGATGTCCTCTTCTGATGTGTCTGTAGACAGCAACAGTGTACTCACATATATAAAATAAATAAATCTTAAAAAAGAAAAGTCTATAACATTCTGGCATGAGGTCACAGTTCAGCTCCCGAGTATGTCCTGTGACCCTGATGGATCAGTACAATAAATCAGAGCACAGCCTTGATGGACCCAGTATAGTAAACTTTTGTCATCTGCTTAAGTACTCACTAAGATGAACATTTGAAGATGCAGTCAGCTCCTGAGTCTGTGCTGTTATCCCCACTGGTCAGTTTTTGCCAGTGGATATCCTTAGAAGTGGGTATGATGGTCACGAGAGAGGAAAGCTCTGTCTGTCTCTCTGTGTCTCTCTCACTTGGTCTTCTTGGTGGTTGGTTGGTTTGGGATTTTTTGTTTGTTTGTATCTTGAGACAGAGAACCAATGTAGCAGAGGATGACTCTGATCTCCTTTCTGATCTTCCTGCCTCTGCCTCACAAGCTGGCATTACATATGTTACCCATGTCTGGCTCAGCTTTGTAACTTCACTTTCCTTCTCTTTTAAATTTTAATTAAACTTTCAGAAAAATTAATGCATGCACTTGAGACAGAGGTCAAATGTACAGGATACCATCAAGAACAAAAACCATCATTTGGTTTCTAATCTGCATCTCTTGCCTATGATTTTTCCAGAAACAAAATTATCTGGTCTTAGAAATATAGCACGCTAGCCAGCCAATAGCTTTTCAGTCTGGTTATTGGGAGTTTGCAGTTCAAAGGCAACTACATACAAGGCTATTTAAACACCAAGTTCAGAGGGAGGGGCTCTAACCAGAATAAATATGGCACATTTAGCTAAACAGAGACATTTAAATTTCTAGCTCTTATGAGAATTATGCTATTTTTGCCAATAAATTTAAATAAAGTTTTAGAAAGCTAGAAAATCTCTATGGCTAGACTTTTTAGCCAGAAGCTTGCCCTCAGTCCCAGAAGGGAGTTCCAGGCAGAGATTTGTAACTTTCTACTTGCATGCTTGGCCTTTTGTAATGAGATTCATAGATACAATCACCAGTAACATGAGTGGGAGTCACCAGTAGCTGTGCTTGAAACCAGCCAAGAGGGACAAGCACTAGATTCAGAGAGTTACTTAACCAGGATCTTACCTAACACAGAGAAAACGAAACTGTACATTCTGTATGATTTCATCATGCTAAGTTCACAAAAAATAATAATCTGTGACCGAACTGAGAGTAGTTGCCTTCTGGGTAATGGGAGGCTCTGGGAAAGCTAGGCATGGCGACAGATGTCTGTAATCCCAGCACTTGGGAGACAGAGGAGATGGGGAGTTCAGGGCCAACATGGGCACGTAAGATCCTGTCTCTGTGCCTGTGCCTGGCCTGTGTCTGTGCCTGTGCCTGTGCCTGTGCCTGTGCCTGTGCCTGTCTGTCTCCCATACTCACACACACCACCACCACCACCACCAACAACAACAACAACAATAACAATAAAAATCTCTCAACAGCCAGGTGGCAGGGTTGACACACACTTATAATCTCAACATTCAGGAGGCAGAGGCAGACAAATCTCTAAGAGTGTGAGCCCAGTCTGGTCTACAGAGCAAGTTCCAGGACAGTCAGGGATTTGTTACACAGACAAACCCTATCTCTAAAAACAAAATACAAACCAAACAAACAAAAGATTGGCTAAGGAGAGTAAAACTACTCTGTTATCTATGTAAAAAATTGGAATCTGCCGGGCAGTGGTGGCGCACGCCTTTAATCCCAGCACTTGGGAGGTAGAGGCAGGCGGATTTCTGAGTTCGAGAGTTCGAGGCTAGCCTGGTCTACAGAGTGAGTTCCAGGACAGCCAGGGCTACACAGAGAAACCTTTTCTCAAAAAACCAAAAAAAAAAAAAAAAAAAGAAAGAAAGAAAAAAAGAAAATTGGAATCTACAGAAAATCTTCATGAAGTGTTTAATAGGCTGTAAGATATCAGTAAACGATAAAAAAAATTAAAATTGTACTTATTTTTAAAAATTCACTTACGTATGTATGTATGTATGTATGTATGTATGTATGTATGTATGTATCTGTGTTGTCTTGGTCAGTATTCTATTGCTGTGAAGAGATACCATGACCATGTCACCTCTTAAAAAGGGCAACATTTAATCAGGGCTTGCTTACAGTCCCAGAGGTTCAGAGTATATTATTATCATGGCAAGAAGCATGGTGTGTTGTGTCAGGATGCATTTGTGAACCTCAAAAGACCACCAAGAAGCCAGCTCTGATGTATTAGGGTCTCTTTATTACAAAGGCTGCCCTGTACTTTGTCATATATCTCAAGTAGTCAGGTAGTGAGACTTCCAGCTCTGTCCTTCTTCAGCATTGTTCAGCTAGTCTAGATCTTTCTACTTTCACGTAAACATAAGAGCAAGTTTGTCAGTTTCTAGAAAAACCTCCTAGGACCAGGACTTTGATATCGGATCAGGTTGTAACTCTCAGCGACTTCTCCAGTGATGTGCTTTGGTTTTGGCTTCTATTTTCCCCTTATCTGTAGGGTTGTAAGAGTCAATGTAGGTTGTGGATAGCCCTGGTTTTGTATTTTGATGCTAATTCCGCTTTCCTGGGAGGGGCTGCAGAGGGGGAGTGAATCAGTACACGGGTGACTTCTTGTGAACCTTCTGCCCACCTTAATCTGTAAAATAAAGGCTAGAGCCTGTGACTGGGCAGTAGAAGGGAGATGAATCAAAAGTTTAGAGGCAAGGGAGAGAGAGGAAGAAGAAGGAAAAGGAGAGGCAAACTGCCAGATGTTACCCTTGTGTCTGTAACAATTAGTCATATCAAAGTTAGATAATTTGGGTTAACAATTCTAATTGTGTGGACATCTTGTGTAGAGTATTTGCTAATACATAAATCCATTGGATAATCTTTAAACATTAAGAATCTTACTTCTACCGGGTACTAGAATTGATATATCTACTACATGGGGTGGTGGCTATTCCCCGGGCTCGGGGGTGGGGGTGGAGGTTGGGAGGTAGGTGGTGGGGGTGGGGGGTGGGGCTGGACACCACGGATCTGATGGTTGATGGTGGAGGCAACAGCCACACCAACATCTTGTGGGTCCCAGGCTGTGGTTGTTAGTGCATGAACTTAGACCGGGAACATGGTGGCCAGGAGGTAGCCGGACCAACTGCCTCTTTTCTAATACCTCCCGTAACAAATGTAAGGGTCCATGATTCCCCAAAGAATGATACCGTGGACTCTTACAACAAGTATATACATGCAAAGAGTGTTTTATTCTGCAGAAGTCCAGCATGCTGGGGTCTCCCATTACCAAGATAGAGAGACAACCAAGTGAGCTCGCAGGCCTGATTTAAAGCACGTTGGGGATTCCAGGGTAGGTGACCTCTATCTTGTTCCATCTCTAGGGACATTCCATTACCAGGGTATGGGGGCTGGAAACTGTTACTGGGGAGGTCTGGAAACTGTTGCTGATCCATTTCCCTTGCTTCAGGCCAGCAGGCTGGTCAGCTTCTGACAGCAGGGCAGTTTCTGACTAGCTTTCTGAAGCTTGGATTTTTTTTTTTTTTTCTAGTAACTGACTTTCCTGAGCTTGCCTAGACTTGCTTAGTTCTTAGGCCTAGTCTCCAGGGCTGCCAATTTGAAGCCTGTCAAGGAGTCATCCTGTCTCAGGGTATCTATGGAATTTGAAATTAGAGTCATACCATTCCATTCTGGAAAATTAAAACTATCTTCCCTTTCATTTATTTGGGATTTTCCTCCTTGCCCCCCTTTTTTTTTGGGGGGGGGGAATTGTCAGTGCAGGTTGGATTTCTAGGATTCTGCCTGTAAGTGATCATTCATTCGCTGGACTGATGCCTAGATTTGTCAGAGTATTTCCAGAGATGGCTGTGTGAAGAGAGGGGAGACCTATTCTCATGTGGCTAGCACCATCCAGTAAGATGGGGCCTGGACAGAATGAAATGTAGTAAGCAGATGTTCATTTGCACACATGCCAACTGTGATGGTTTGAATAAGAATGGCCCCCATAGCTCATATTTTGAATGCTTAGTCATCAGGAAGTGGCATTATTTAAAAAGGATTAGGAGGCATGACCTTGTTGGAGGAAGTGTGTCGCTTGCCAACCTCCATTCTCCCTGCCATGATAATGGACTAAACCTCAGAAACTGTAACCCAGCCCCAATGAAATGTCTTCTTTTACAGTAGCTGCCTAGGCCATGGTGTCCCTCCACAGCAATAAAACAGTGACCATGACAGCAACCTCATCTTCAACTGGTGCAGTTTCGTTGCTGTCAAGGCCCAAGACTCCACTGAACTTCCATTGTGGACTCACACTAGGAACAGCTTGCCCCTCTCGGGGGTATTGCTGCGTCTGTATCACTGGTCCCTCTAGCATGAGGCTTCCAGCTTCTTGACTTTGTGCACAGAGGACAGCTTGCAGGTGTCATTTCTCTCTTCCACCATGTAGGTAGGTCCCAGAGAGAAAATGGAAATTGTCAGATTATAAATCCAGACTGCCTCAAACTTGAGATGCCCCTGCTTCCTGGGATTGAAGGCCTATGCCTATACCATAGCTAAATCCATTTTTATTTTTATTTATTTATTTATTTATTGGGTTTTTTTCGAGACAGGGTTTCTCTGTGTAGTCCTGGCTGTCCTGGAACTCACTCTGTAGACTAGGCTGGCCTCGAACTCAGAAATCCACCTGCCTCTGCCTCCCAAGTGCTGGGATTAAAGGCATGCGCCATCACTGGCTGGCAACATTTTTATTTTTTTAGTGAACATGCTAGTTAGGGGTCTCTAAAGGAACAGACCCGGTAAATAAAGTGTGTCTCATACATATAAAGGAGGTTTAT